GGCTGCACGCGATGGCTCTAGACAGGTCCTTGGTAGGAGCAGAACAGGGTGCTGGGGAAGCGAGGTGGCACGTGAGGGAGTGATGACAGCAAGGTGGCATGACAGATGCCCCCACGTAGACTTGAGCAGGTTCCCTGTGGACGCACTGAGCGCCTGCCCACACCGTCCTGCTCAAAGCCCCGATGCCATTGGATGTCACATGGTTCACGTGTCTGCGTCTCCCCAACTTCGCATCCGGGCTGAGTCCGGGTGTCCTCGGCCTTAGCGCTGTGCACGGCACAGGGGACGCCCCGGGAATGCCGGTCAATGAACGAGTAAGTCATGAGTTATCCTGTGCTGGGGAGCCTCTGGCTTCTCCAGGTAGGACTGAGAAAGAAGAACGTGACAAGGACGTTGTGTCCCCGGCCCCCTGCACAGCATGGAGCTTTGTACCTTGTGATGCCTCTTCTCCCATCTTCTTGTTCCCTCGTAGCCCTCGAGGGACCTTGGGTCTCTTCACACAGAGGAGAGCAGGTGCCCTAGTGGGTCACACAGGGCTGAGCCTGCTTCATGTTTGTATCAAAGGCATCTCAGTTGCACCCCCCACTTGTTACGCACCAAAATGCAATGGAAATCCCAAATCCATAGACACAGAAAGCAGATGCCCGGTTGCCAGGGGTGGAGCAGAGGGCGGGTGGCAAGGGACTACTCACGGGTAGAGAGCTGCCTTTCAAGGTGACACAGATGCTCTGGAACGAGGTGGCAGTGATGGTGGGATAACACTGGAAATGTACTATGTCTCTGAATTGTCCACTGAAAATGGCGACTTCAATGTTATGTGAATTGGATCTGAATTTTTTAAACTGCCATCGGAGATAGAAATAGATCTGGTTGCAACAGGGGTAAAAATGGCAGGCCAGGGATCAGGAACATCGGACATCGTCACTTTAGCCTTCTTCCGGATAACAGCCTCTTTTCATCCACGCTTAGGACACGCACCGAGGACTCTTCATCCAGCAGCTGCGACCCACGCAGAACCTGCAGCCGAGAATCAAGCTCAAGCTGTTCGGCCACTCGGGGTCCGGGAAGACCACCCTGGTGGAATCTCTCAAGTGTGGGCTTCTGAGGAGCTTCTTCAGGAGACGCCGGCCTCGACTCCCATCCACCAACTCCAGCCGGTTCCCACCCTCGCCCCTGGCTTCCAAGCCTGCAGGTAAGAACCTTCCGCTGGCCCTGGCAGCCCAGGGCGCGCTGGCTTCTGCGCTCTCTCCTGCCAAGGTCTGGGGGAGAGGAGGGAGTTGGGTTTGGGTCACTTGGCCTAGAGCTGACTCTGCAGCCTTGGTGGCTTTCAAGTGTGGTCTAGGTTGGCTGGTGGCCTTGTGTACCCCCCCAGTCTCTTGATGGCAGAACTACCCCAGCAAGAGCACAAGTGCCTCCCTGAAATCCCAACCTCAGACACAAAGGCCCACCAACCATCGTGAATGTGCACATGGCACAACTGCATCGTGTTCTCCTCCGGGGCTGTGCCCTTGGAGGCGGAAAGAGCTGGGACCCACACCGGTCCACGCTCAGCACACCACCTGCCCGTGGGCTCCCGGGAGGGAGAGATTTCACCCTGCTCAACCCTCGGCTGCTCAACCCTCGGCCTCAGAAGCAATGTCTCCATCTTCCTCCTTCTGGTTAATTTCCATATCGAGTCTTGAACATGGGTTCTCGATATAGTGAGGCTCGGCATGGCCCTTTGTTCTCATACCCTGCCGTGTGACCTCACCCTTCAGCCAGGGCTCAGAAAGACGTCGGTTCTGGACGCAATGACAGGAGACCCTCTGTCGGGAGATCCACGCTGGGACCAGACGAGCCACCAGCTGCTCTCAGCACGGGCCACAGAGGATCTGGGGCGGAGGCCACTGCCCTGCTTCCTTGGCCACCCTTAGTCAGATACCTCATCCTGACGCACCTCCATCCAGCCACTGGGCAGCAGAACCCGGCCTCTCCCAATGGGTGGTGAGGTGGGTGGGCGCTGCTCTGTGTTGAGTCCTTAGAGCCCATCTGGCATGCTGGCGTCTCAGGAGATGCTGGCTTTGCAGCCACAAGGAACCGAAGGAGGATAGCTTCCCACGTGCGTCCCTTCTCCTGGGATGCTGTGCTTGGAGAACGTCCACGTGGGGAGCCGCTCGTGTTTAAGAAGGAACACATGCGGGAAAGACAGGAGAGAAGGCAAAGGGGACCCCAAAGCTTGTCCAGCTCTCAAGGTTGCCGCTCCTTGGGAACACAAAAATCAGAGGCGTGTGTGTGGAAGCCTGCATAGCAACAAGACACCAAGGGAAAGACCCTGTGAGATGCACATAACTTGCGCTGACCTGGGTTCCAGGTGCTGCCCCGCAGCCTCTCATCTGACCCTCACCACCTGTTAGGTCAGATCATGAACCCATTTCAGAGCAAAGTCGCCTGAGGCTCCAAGACATGAGATGCATCTCCCCAGCAAGGAGGACCACCCAAAGCCAGGGGCCTCCCGGACAGGTGCTCTGTCGAGCATAAGGAGAGGAGACACATTGCATTTGCCACCAACGTTTAGAAGTCAAGAGAGCTTACCTAAAACCTTGGGCATTTGGCTGGCTATGGGAAATGGGAGTCTGTCCACACTGGCTTCTCCTTCCTGCCTGGTGCCGGATACTGGGGAAGAGGCAGGTACCCCACTTAGAGGGACACGGGATCCCCATCTCACAAGGACTCCACCCCCTCTCCAACCCCAAGTGTCCCTTAGAACAGGAGAGAGAGCTCTGAAGCAGACCCCAGCCCCAGGTGTGACATTTTGCTCTGTGGTGGCATTTTCAACGCAGCGGAAAAGGACAGTGCACTGGGGCAGGAATGCATGGGAGTGTGTGACCCCAGGTAAGGTCACGCCTAGTCAATGTCAGAGGCAGAGTCCAGTCCCAGATGTGTTGGCCAGACCCGGTGGCCTCCAGGAGTGCCAGGCTGGGATAGGAGGACTGTCAAGCCCCGTGGAGGCCCGGCTTGCTACGCCCAGGTCTCCTCCGGGGGTGGAGCAGGTGTTATCCACACAGACCCTGGAATGAATGAGACCCGTCTGCAGTTGAACCAGCTCCTGCCTGAGGCTGTGAAATGGCAGGAGGCTGTGCCCACAGGCCCCTAGCACCTTTTCCTCCTGCGTGTGTGGAGCGAGAGCACCCTGGTTGGTGCACCTGCAGCCTCACAGCCGAGGGAGGCCAGGGCCGGAGGCACGGCTCGGCGGCTGGACCCAGAGGAGGCTGAGCAGAGGAGATGCCACCCGCCCTGGACTGGGCCGGTCACCCGTGGCTTCCTGCCCTCACAGCTTGTGACTCAGCACCCACAGTACCCTGGAAAAGCAGAGCCTGACCATAAGACACCTTGAGGGCGTCCTGGGGGAGGATGGGCTCTGGCAGAGGGCGTGTGTGCCGGACACGGGCACTGATTTGTTATATGCCCGAGGAACGGCTGCCCCTGAGCGTGTGCTTCCAGGGATGGGCCTGGTTCCAGGAGCAGCAGCCCTGTCATCCCCGGCACTGCTGCTTGTGCTTTGTGGGCTGTGCTCGCTCCCAGGCCCAGGTCCTGAACACCTGTGACCGCTCCTGTCCATGTAGGACATTAACATCATCACACAGCGGGAAGTCTGCCTTTAGAATCTTGGCCCTTTGCAGATTTCATTCCCCGACTCTTTTTGGTTTTGAGTTGGAGTCTCTGTCGCCCAAGCTGGAGTGCAGTGTCACGGTCACAGCTTACTGCAGCCTCAACCTCCTGGGTTCAGGTGGTCCTTCCAGCTCAGCCTCCCAAGCAGCAGGAACTACAGGCACATGCCACCACATCTGGCTAATCTTTGTGTTTTTTGTAGAGATGGGGTCTTACCATATTGCCCAGACTGGTCTTGAACTCTTGGGCTCGAATGATTCTCCCGCCTCGGCCTCCCAAAGTGCTGGGATTACAGGCACAAGCCAGGGCGCCCAGTCCCAATTCTATTCTCTTGAGAACACTAGAGGCAGACTGTGCTCCAGGCCAGGAGACAGGGCAGGCTTGTCCTCATGGGGAGGGTGGCGGCCCTGTTCCAGCAGCTCTGGAGCCCTCCAGCCCCCGGTGCCCTTGGCGCGCAGAGCAGAGCTAGAGGACGGGGAGGCAGGGAGGGTGCATGGCTCCCATCCAACAAATCTCAGAGCCCGGCCTGGGTGTGACCCAGGAGGACTCCATTCACACCGTGGCCTGACACAGCCATCATCAGTGACCCCACCTCCAGTGACCCTCACACTGGCTGTCCTCGGACTGCCACCCGCACCCTTGAGCGTTGGGAACCCGGAGAGTTGTGGCGGTTGAGTTGTGGCTCCACAGAGGAAGGAAAGCATCCCAGGCCGCTGGAGGGGCGACGTCCAGGAAGAGCATTGCAGAGGCTGCCGTGTTCCTGCAGAGAGGAGCCTGGGGGAGGACTCCCTTCCTCCTGGAAGCAGGAGTGGGTCTCCCGGGAGCTGCTGCTTTACTCCACCGGGGGGCAGTGGTCAGCAAAAAAAGGATTTATTCCTGTGAGTTCAGGGTCTCCGTAAAAGTATTGTTTTACTAATACCGTACATAAACCCTGTCCTAACCTTTTACCTTCCCAACGAAAACTGTCACCAAGGAGCAGGAATGACTGTCACTCACCCGATATTGCCTGCTCCCCCGGCAAGCACACACCACATGGCACTCAAACAAGATTTGTTGCTGGCAGGTGGTCATCGGCACACAGGCTCCAGGTCACAGGAAAATGGGCAAAATCTTTCTTGGGAAGTCACCTAGTATTTGTCAGACTTGGACTAACAACGTGCAGAGAAATACACTAAAATGTCGGCCATGTTGACAAAGAGGCTTAGGTCATTTTGTTTTCTTTTCACACTCCTGTTTGCCAACTTTCCTGGAAATATGTGTGTGTCTTTTTCAGAATAACGCTTCCCGTCTTGTTGTCCTTCCCCTTTCCTTAGACCTGACCCTGCCCTTGGGGCCCACTTTGGTCCTCCCCGTCTCCTCCATTTGATATTCCCATTAGCCGTGTCCTCAGTCTTACATTTGGATCACCAATTTTGAAGTCAGATTTCCCAGGTGAAATGGCCACTTGCTCAGTGCCTTGCAGTGTCTGTTGTATTATATTAATTGTGAATCAACGGTAGGTACTGAAACGGTCCGAGCAACGATCGGCCGCTTTCTCTTGCTGCCAATCAAAGACGAGAGGCAGACACTGGGAGAAAGTTTCCATTACCAGGTTATAGGGAGATGAGTTGGCATCCTTACCAAAAACCCACTCAAAGCAACACAAGTTTATTCCAGGATTTATATCCAAAATCCATTCCCCTTCACCCACCCAGAGTTCGAAGCCTACTGCAGTTTTAGTGTGATTCAGGATTCACATGAACAGTTTTTGACCTGTGACCACTGACGTGATTCAGAGTCTTCTGGTGATGCTGACATTTTAGACAGCATTCTGTGATCGACAACATGTTCTTTACAGGATGGGGCAGACAATAGCAGGAAGGAAGGGAAAGTCACAGCATGTAAAATGATAGCTTTAAATTGCTTCAGAACTTAGCTTAACTTTAAAACTTAACAATCTCCTCTTCCCAGAACCCTGGCCTATAACGTTCAATCTCGTATTCACAGATGGAGGGGAGGTGGGCAGTGCCCACGCCAGGCTTTCAGACACACTCCTGCCAGCCTTGGCCCACTCTCCTAATTACTAGGTGGCCTGGCCTGCCGGCTGTTTCTTCTTCAGCACCGGTGATGGCTTCCTCGATAAGATTGGCCAGTCGGGCAACTCTAGGAGAGGAGAAGGGTGGAGGGTGGGGTGCTAGGAAAAATGTACACTTTTGAATTCAAGCAGGTTTTGTATTCAGCTTAACTCGATTACAGAGAACAGTTTCTGGATGCGAGTTTCTAAGTCTTTTCTAAACGACTCTTCCAATACAACCGAAATGGCCTCTTTTCAGCCTATGACAGCACTGTATGGTTCAGTTCTGCTCATTGAACCCCTTCCTGATGCATGGACTTGCCAAATACTTACGAAGCAGCCAGGATGGGCCAGGCCCTGAGTCACAGCCTCAAGGTGCACACACAGCTTCTGTCTGCACAGCCTGGTGGGAGAGACAGGGAGACAGGCAGGCCAGTGAGTAGCTGGGATGGTGAGGAAGCACAGGACGCTGAGGGAGGCTCTATTCACAGTCACGGGGAATCCAGATTTTGTCATGAGGTCCCCCGCCACAAGCTCTACTGTTACTTACATAACATTTTATTTAACCTGATTCTCTACTTTTAACTGCCTAAAATACATTTCTTTAAAAACGAAACAGTTAATATTTTCACCATAAATGGAAAACACAGTGCCATTACCATACGTAAACATAAATGCAACGAATAGCAACCAAGATGGTCAAAACCCAGCTGTATGCTGGTGCCCACACCCTCTCCTTCAAAAGGAAAGGTGAGGCCGGGCCCAGTGGCTCGGCCTGTCATCCCAGCACTTTGGGAGGCCGAGGCGAGAGCCCGGGGGGGGGTG